ATATATATATATATTATATATACATAATATATTCTTAGTAGAAAAAATGAACGAGTTTACAGCAATCAATAATACGTTTATAATTATATATAAAAATTACCTCTAACGGCGTGCTTTCCGCAGACATGGACGTAAAACCAACTATGTCGCTGAAATAAATGGTAACACAGTCGAAACTTTCAGCCTCTACTTTGTGTCCCATTTTTAGTTGTTCAGCTACGTAACGCGGTAACATTTCGTATAGCAATGCATCTGTTTTCTTTTTTTCTTCAGTTAATTGGTCTGTCCGTTCGTTAACAAGTGCTTCAAGATTATTTGTATATTTTTCCATCATCGCCATCACATTGTCTACGATATTCGCTTTTCTAAAAGGAAAACATAAGCGAACGTGATTAAGTAAAAAGTAGATTTAATAAATTTTTGAAAATATTGCTTTCCTTGATACGGATTAATTATATATATATATATATATACATTATTTAATTATGGATTAATAAAATACTATTTTGTGTATATATTGTGATATTAACAAATATATAATATTACAAAAAACTCACATGCCCTTTTATAGCGGTCCCAATTTGTGTCTGATCATTTTAAAATCTGATGGACGAAGTTCCGGATTTTCTGACCAGCATTCGAGCAAACATTTACAAACGAAATCGAACGTATTATCCAGTTGATCCAATGGTGGTCTACCATTATTTCATGAGAAAAAAAAGAAAATTTCTTCAAATTTTTTAATAAAAATTATAAAGTTATATATTTTTTAGTTATATTTACAATAGCTTACCTAAACGGTGATGTTTCATAATTTGGTTTTTTTATTTTTGTTAATATTTCATCTATTGATAAATCAGTGATACCAAATGGTCCATGTCGTCCTTGTAGTTCGTACAAAACTGTGGCGAATGAATATACATCCCCTCTTTGCAAATCACGAACATTCAGCTTCAAGGGAGAAGTACAGCGTAATAATTCAGGTGCTTTGTATAGCAACCCTATATGGAATTATATAGTGAATTAAATATAGGAGAGATTTGCTAAATTCATATTGATCGCTTAAGTCTAAAAGCTGCGTCGTAACCAAGCTTACAGAGCTGTCATGCTATATAAGCTTGGATAGGATGCTTGTACGGTATAATTTTTTTCGGTAACAATTGTTTTTCTACTTAAAATATTCATCAGTGATGAATTAAGCATTTTGCCGCCCCTAGGTGGCTTCATTAATTTATAAATTTGATAAAAGGGAAAATGGATTTAAAAAATGATTTATATCCCCGCATTAGCTATAGTAAAAACATTCAATAATCCTTAATAAGGATCCTTAATCCTTAATATAAATATAATACATTTTTAAAATGTATATTTAAAATATCGTTTCTGATCAAATATGCTCGGTGTAACTGGTGCAAAAACGTTAGATTAACAAATTAAAAATTTATCTTAATTATGACAATCTTGCGTTTCGCGGGTTTTCTCCGTGTCCAGATCCATTCTTGGAATGCCAATGTTTCGTGAACCTTACAGTCCACTGCATCAGAGCGAGGAACAGCCTGATACTAAGCTGTTCCCCTGGGTCGTTCCCTTTATATTACGCTGGGGGGGGGAAAGAAATGTTGGCATTCCAAGAGTGGATCTGGACACGGAGAAAATCCGCGAAACGCAAGATTGTCATATAGGAAACACCCGTGGAAGCCTCAAGAATATTATTTATCTTAACTATATGAAAATTTTCTGTCTTGAAAAATTTGCCGCCCCCTCAAATTTGCCACCCTAAGCAAGTGTCTTGTTTGTCTATGCGTTAATCTATCACTGATATTAATATAAAGAATTTAAAACATTTGTTAGATAAGTTTGATATAAAAAAATGTAAAAGAATTGCTATATAGAGACTAGCTTAGAATTTTAAGTTCTAATTTAAAAAAAAATTATTTGAGTGTATCTATACATTTGGCACAACATTCCCCTATATAGACTTTTTTCGTAATCATTATAGCGGATATTGAATCGATTTCTTTCATTTTATATAATTCTCAATTTATAAATTAAAAAAGATTACGAAAAAAGAAGAATTTAGTAACAATTAAAATTATAAGAGAATTCGAAAGTATAATTATTGAATCGGATATAAAAATTTCTTTTAACTTACCGTGGTTTGTTTTAATGACGTCAGAGTCGCATTCCTCATTTCGTTTAAATTCGTTCAAGCCAAAATCCGTTAATTTTACAACCCATCGTGAATCCACAAGGCAGTTTGAAGGGCTTAGTGATCCGTGATACTTAATTACTGAATCGTGCAGATAGATCATACCCTAAACGATTAGACAGAATGGCTACCGTCCAATCAAACAATTAACACAGTTGTTAAAGATACATAATTTGTACTTTTTGGCTCGATTTTATAAGTCATCTTCAATCTTAAAATATAATAAAAAATAATCTCACATTCTTCACTGCGCATAATAGAAGCGGTCCTGGATTTTCAAATTGATAAGTAGTCACAGCCGGTTTATAAGCCGAGTAAACTATGAATTGTGTAATTCCTTTTATACTCATTTTTATCAATATAGATTGACTTTAATCTCAGTTCAACTTATTCTTTATCTTTTTCTAAAAATTAGAAAAAGGTGAAGAGTTGAACTGAGATTAAAGTTAATCTACCTACATTGGTGGAAACGAGCATTAGAATGTTATAATAGTCCATTGTACTTGATTTATGAACCGATTGTGACTGACACTTATTTAAGTTGAAAATACCTCCTGGATAGTTTTTGTTACATGCGATGGAGAATATAAGGTTACTTTTTAATATATTATTGGTTGAAGTTTATGGTTATATCGCTTATTTGTATACAATTCCTATTGCTATTTTTGTCGCTGTTGCTTAGCATGTATTTAGACAATTTAGACCGTCTAGGGCTTTACGTCCAAGTCTCTTCCGTACTATGCTTCGAGCCGCTCATCATATTATCGATCGCCGAGAAGACAGAAGATCTTTTTTCTGATGACGTGTTTGTTCATCTTGTTCATTCTGCTCTGAGTTTTTGACACTTTTGTCATTTTCTCAATAAAGTTTTAGTTCTCATTATACACTTGGGCATATTTATTTCGATGTGACTAGTGTATTGTGCTACTGTGTGTTTTCCGTGCAAATTTGAAACGTGCATACGTGTCGCGAACGTATAAACATTTTGGATCAATAACGGGTCCTAATCATATACAGTACAGGAGAGACTTCGACGCAACACTGATTTCGATGTAATAATGCCTTAAAATTGCTGAAGATGGCTCATAATTGAACCGAAACATTCAAATTATGTACCTTTATATAATAAACTATGTTGGTTATTTTATTTTAAACACCAATAACTGCGTTCGAGATTTATTACCCTTTCTTTTTAATTATTTTTGAATGCAATGTAACATAAAAAGAAAAAAAACAATTTTGAAACTCGTCTACATTTTCTCTATTTGTAAACTTTTTTTTTTCATGTTACATTGCATTCAGCAGTCTGATGCTACATGGAAGAAATCATCTCTTAAAATGAATATTGTATATTTTATTAAGGTAGTACACTCGCGAATTGAAAATAGTAACTAAGAATTTCTTTAAATTGAAACTGTACTAGGAGACATTAACACGCTTATGTGCAATTACAATGAGATTGACCGTTTCAATATCGAGATATAAATAATTAAAAATTATACTTTTTATACGTGTTGCCTATATAAAGTTCATGAAAATCACGTTTATTTTTTATTATTTTATTAGAGCCTAAACTAGCAGTGATATATTAATAAAAAACGAATATGCGCTGGAGAAAAAAATATTATGAAAAAAATGTTATAATTTTTTATGGTTTAGTTTGGAAAATAGAATTGTGAAAAGAATGCAATTTTTGATCTTAATTGAAGAGATGATGTTTATGAAGACGATTGAAAGGGGCCAGTGAGCGTCTGGTGTCGTACTTCTCGCATATCATCGCAAATATCGCGTGTGATTCGGGACGTTCGCAGTTCAATGAAATTTATGATAGTGAGATTAAAAGAGTTAGAATCGCATAAACATTTGTCAATCCGTCATGTGAATCAAATTGCTTTCTATTATCAAAATTTTATTCCAACGTGTCACTTAATCAAGAGGGATGGTAATTAGTCCATTGGAATTGACCAATCACACATGTCGTTGACAAATGCGATTGGTCAATTCCAATCGTCGATTAAAGTTAATCGGAGTTAGTCGAAATGGTCCTGAATGGGAATATCACCGAGTCCGCGATGAGACCTTTGGATGATATTATCGTGAGTGTACTATCTTAATTAAACAAATTTTAAAGAGAAGAAAATGTAAATTTTATGAAAACAAAATTTAATGAAACTTACTCTAATGATGTCGCCGACAAGAGATGAAATAAACATATTATCGAGTTTTATATCTTCGTTCTCCAATATGTTCTGAAAAACATTGCGTTATTGATGGAAATTCGAAATTATTGAAATTATCATAATGCGATAATATTTGGAGATTTAATCAATATATATATAAAATATTAATTGCATTAATTAAAAAAATTACTGACTTTGAGACTACCACGTGCACAATATTCGACGATGACGCATATATTAGGTGGTTCAGTACAAGCACCGATAAAGGAGTTCAAGTTACTGTGTCTAATATCGCGCATCTGAAAATACATTCTTTTAATAGCAAGTAAGTTCCTACTGTAATTGCTTAAAGTTGTTATATTGTAATTAAATTAAAAATTAAATTAAAATTTTTGACTTTACAAACGTTACCACTTTTAATTCTTTTTTCATCTTTCGCGTAATCTCAATTGATTTCTTTCTGATTTTCTTAACAGCAACAATTTGTCCTTTATACAGTCCGATTTGCGTATAAATCATTGAATATCGGAAATCCGCATCTGGATTAGAACTTAGCGACACTTGACTAGTTCGCATTATAGGTTGCGTTGTTGGTGACTTTGAAAAAATATATATGAATATTATGTTTAGTTTTTTGTTAATGTCATCACAGTCACATTGAATCGTAACATCAGAAGCGAGAAATAACACGTTAATTTTTATTACGTATCATTTGTAAATAATAACAATTTAGATAAAACGCAAGAATAAGATCGCTTTAAAACAATTGTAAAAATAGACGAAAACTATCCTCCTATATATCTCCTCCCTGACAGTCAGTAAATAATCGTAAAAAGTGATAAAAGACACATGAAGTTTTTATTCTTATATGCTTATTTTCACTTACACGTATTTTTTATCATTTTTTACATTTATTTACTGACTGTCAGGGGGATAAGCATATTCTTCGTCCATTTTTATAAATGTTTTAAAGCGATCTCGTCGTTTTGTTTTACCCAAATTGTCTTTATTTACAAATGGCACGTAATAAAAATTAACGTGTCATTTCTCGCTTCTGACGTCATGGTTCAGTATGGCTGCGATGACTACTTAGGGCTCCTCAGAAGCCTTTGTTATACAAAAATTACGATTTAGTCGGTAATACAGACGGCTTTAGAATTCCCTTAAGTTTGCACAAGACACTGAACGGGAATCCCGCACCAAAAAACAGAAATCACTAGTGATTGAAATAAGGCCCTTTTAGCCCGGATTTACAATAGGTTTTTAAGCCTGAAGTCATAAGAAATGAACGAATCATAGTCAATTATTCTCCTCGCATTCGACCCCTGTAACCCCGGATCTACAATAGAGTTTTAAACTTTAAGTCATTAGAAATGGACGAATCACAGTCGATTATTCTCCTCGAATTAGACTGTAATTAGTCAATTTCTTACGGCTTAAGGCTTAATCCCACCTATTTGGATATATGGCATTTTTAACGGGCGGGATTTATGTTCAAAGCATACAAAGTACGCAGATTGAAATGAGTGCACTAAATGCAATAAACGCATTACATGAAATATGTACCTCTTGTCATAACACTTCCAATATATGTAGGAAGATTGTAATTATTATTTATTACTTCATATACATATTTATCATTTTTATTCCTTAATAAAACTTTATAAACGCATTTTATAAGTTATTGTGTCATTTTACGTCTTATTTATATGCATTATTTGTAAATTTTTCATGAACCGTACATACCTCCCTTCCCCCTATGAGTAACCATATATCTCACCCTTATGGGATATATGGCAAAAATGCAAGGGTTTCAAAAAGTTTATTTTTTAGAATGAAAAATTAATATTTCGGATTCCTAATATTTTTTTCATAGTAGTAGAAAGTATGAAGTTTTTACTGGTATAGTTTATTTGCCTTAAACATGGTAAATAGTACTTGATAAATTAAATCTCCCTTAGGTGCAGCGTATATACCAAGTTTACTCTAAGGCTTAAAATACCTATTGTAGATCCGGGACTTACTGCCCTGTATTTTTTCTTACTAGTCTGATGTGTAGTTGGTGATATGTAGTTAGACATGGTTGAAGGTGTAAGAACTCGCGTGCAAGGTTTCGTTTTTTTGCTAATAAAATAGTCTTCTTCGTTAATGGAAGAGACGTCGCGAGTTGTTAAAATAAATGTGATTAATAATTGCGTGATACCCAACATCGGTCCTTCGAGCCGAATCCAGGGATCCAGATATTGGTGAGGCACATAAGATGAAGACTCTCGTGATACATATGATTTCAAACACAAGGATACCAGAGAATTTAAGAGCATTCTTGATAGCAAGCAAGCTTGTACGAAACAAGGCAAGCCAGTTTGAAGTCGGTGTGCGCCAGATCCCTGACCAACAAGGCATATTTGGAAAGCAATGAAAGAATCAGTATTTTTAATATTTCATTTTTTTGCTAATTTTTTATTTTTTTGCTAAAGTAGTCTTCTTCGTCAATGGAAGAGACGCTGCGAGTTGTTAATTATTAATCCTCGCATGACACCCAACAATACTAAAAAATTTATATTAAAAAACTCATTACAGCTTTGCATCTAAAAATTTGTAAGATAAATTTCATGCAAATATACAAGCAATTTTTTTTGTCGTGCGTCCAATCTAATAGGAAAAGGTGATAAAAACGTATACGAAAAGACGTAAATATGAAAGAAACTAAGATTGTTTTCAAAAATAGAGGTAGTGATACGATAGGCAAGTAAATACTTCGGAATTGCATTTGGCGAGTATCTCATCGGCTCTTGTTTCACTCTTCTGTGTGTGCTCCTTGATCTGAATGTCTTTGTAGTTAACTTTCCAAAGCAAACTATCTATCTCTTGCTCGTATTTCCAATTTTTATAAAAAAATAAGACAACCACTATAATAATGAACACTAATAAACCAACGATGACGCCAATAATTTTACCAGTATGAGCTGTAAACAAACATTAACTCGTATTATTAAGAATTATTATATAATTTACTGATTCAAGTATATTAATTACTTTTTAAAAACATTATATAACATTAGCATATTATTTTAAAACTATAATACAATATTTTTATATAAAAATAATAAAATGTATTATAATAATAAGAAATATTTATATCAATCTTTACGATAAAAATACAGCATATATTTATAAATTATTAATAATATTTATAAATAATGACATAATTACTAATAATAATTATTAATTATTAATACAGTATAGTAGAATGTCTCCCTACAGCACGAAATATTGCAGCAATATTGTGTTGCAGCAATATTTTAATAGTGCGCAATATTACAAAAGTTACAGCAATATTGTTGCAATATTGAAATTTAAATATTATATTGGAAATATTGCAGCAATATTGTGAAATATTCTAACTTTAATACTTTGTAGAAAATATTGCTGCAATATTATAATTCGAAAAATAAGTACACGCTCACGAGCTGGACGTGCTTCTCATAAGAGGAAAACGTCAAGGAAATCTATAAAAAGGTGTGTGCAAAACGAATTGGCGAATCTGCTGGAGATCTTTTTTTGGGTATGCTTTCTAAGTCCAAATGTTTTTTTTATCATAATTTTATTGTATGTATTTGGAATGTGATGCTAAACAACAATATGTTAGCAATTAATAAAACTAGATTAATTATTGAAATATTACATAATGTTGGAGTATATCTGCAATATTTCTCTAAATATTGTAGCAATATTGAAAAACATTGCAACAATATTTGATTTTTGCGGACATATAGGAATGTAGCTACAATGTTACAATTTTTCAAAATGATATTGCTGCAATATTGCTGTAATATATCGATTATCCGAATCTTTATTGCTTAAGGCATAATATTGTCTTAATTTTTATTATACTCACAGTTACATATTTCGCCTTTATATCCACAACGTGGTTCTGAAATCGGAGGTCCACCTCCGACCCATGTTACATTTTTATTCATTTGAAGTTTCTAAACATTTTATTATCGGAAGTTGAATAAGAAGATAATTTGAAACAATTTATAATAGATATAGTGAAATGTTATTTACATTAGACAATTTCCATATGAAAAAAGATTGATAACACACATGCTTTTTCTTGTTTTCAAACATTTGCAAATAAAAAATAAGTTATATTTTAAAATTTGTAATTCAATTAATAAAGTAGAGTATATTTTACATTATATCATAATATGGTAATTATTTTATACATTTGATAATATTAAACTTTTGTGGCAACATAATTAGTGTGTTAATATAAAATTAATATAATAAATATTTTTTTCGTTCTAAACACAAGGTAAAATGTTACGATAACGATATGTAGTTGCTTACTGGCAAATTTGTTCTTTCTTCTTTTCCAATGAAATACCCAATTGGATAAAGGCCGTAGCCTTTCACAGGTCGATTATCCAATGCAAGCAATGTGTAATTACCTTCGGCGTCTCCATTTTCATCCATGTATACCATGTATCTATAGAATTGGTTGTGCAAATTACGCTCGATTTAAATTTGATTCTATCAATTAGATAGAATAACAGTACATTACAAGTTAATTCTACACTGTTAAATCTATAGTGTCAAATTTAACCTACCGTGAGTCGCCACTGCTCCTACTCAATCATGTCGTTATTTTATACTAAAACAATGGTTATATTTGACACTATAGTGTTAATTTGATATTGTATAGTGTCAAATTGACACGGTACAGTCAAATTTAACTATCATTTTGGTAAAAAATTAATATATTTAGTAGGAGCAGTGGCGACTCACGGTAGGTTATATTTGACACTATAAATTTAACAGTGTAATATCCATTTGTAATTTGTAATTGTGTCATTAAAAAAATTTAGTGTTAGCCATATAATTTTATAAATTATAAAATATATTAAGATGTTATTGATAATATTAATTTGTTTAATATTTATTATAAATTATTTTGGCATACAAATGCGATTTTCGTTTAAAGCTGGTTCTACATAGTTGTATCGCAGTGTCGCAAGCGTTACGGTCCAATTAATATCAAGCTAACTCAACTCTGGTTGGATCACAACGCTTGCGACACGCTTGCAACGCTATAATAAAAGAAATAATAATTATTTTTTTATTTGATATGTATGTATCGCGTGTTGTATCAACATATTGATCAATATGTCGGGCTATTTTCTCTAGTAGACATTAGATATATAAAATGTCAATTTTTAAAATCAATTTTAAAAAAGTAACCGATTAACCACGCACGCCTGCTAGAGAAGGTAGCTCGACATAATGACTACACTGAGAGACCCATTTAGTTGAATAAAACAAAATGCTTTGGTTGAACTTTTTTGTTTGACTGAATTTGTAATTTGTTTGTATGAGTAAAAAATTATGTTATCATAAACAAGTTAAATGTTAGAGTAACTAAATTTTTTATTTGCATGGGTTTATTTGCTTCAACTAAATTTTATAGTAGCAATAACAAACGCATTCATCTTATGGTGTTTCAAATAATTGTGTTTGTTGTTCGAACCAAATCGTATAGTTGGAAGTTACACACTGCGATGCGAACGCGTTTGCCGAGCAACGCGGCGGGCGCATGCACTAAAAACAGTAGAAACGCGGCCCGACCGGCATCACTATCGTGATCGAGTTGATTCTCGTCGCGATCCGCGGGGAAGAAGACCGTGAGTGATGAGGAAGAATTCGACGTCAGACTTTTTATCGTTGATATTACGAAGACGCGTGTGCATTTTATTTTACGCCGAAATCTTTGCGACGAGTTCAAACACGTCGTCGAGTGAAATAGCGAGAGTGAAAATATGGCGGATTCACGGGTGAAGGAGGTAGGCTACTAGACATTCTCCAGTGCGGAAGTTTAATTCCAATTTTTCAAGGTAATTTTTTTTATTTGGTGCTAATATCTATTTTATAGCTATACGGTAGCTATAAAATAAGGAAACATATATATCAGAAGTTACGAGACATGCGGATTACACGGTAGTTCGGTAGTGTTTCCACATTAAGAGCATGCATGCACGTGCAACGTTCGTGCATGCTCTTAATGTGTACCGGTTCGACACCTCGCGTAAATATACACATTTACGCGAGGCGTCGAATTTTCCGTATCGTGATTATCGGATCGATTGAACCGATCAAGTTCTATCCCAGCGAAAAATAATAATAGAATCGACGCTAAATTAACGTCGATTCCATTATGATTTTCTACTGAGATGTATTTTGTAATAGAAAGAAAATATATAATTTAACATACAACTTTATGCATTTTTCTTACATTTGTATTAAAGAAATATTTGATTGATTAAAATCTATCTCTTTGATTGAATCAACTAAATCTCTTGTTTCTATATGGGCAAACAAATACATAGATTGGTCCAACAAAATAATTTAATTGGAAAATTTAGTAATATTAACAAATAAATTTAGTTTAGTGAACAAAATTTGAATAACATTTTAACCAAAAATTTGGTTTCATACAATTAACAATTTAGTTCACTGAACCAAATTTTTATGTTAATATTACAAAATTTTCCAAATAAATTATTTTGTTGGACCAATCTATGTATTTGTTTGCCCATATAGAAACAAGAAATTTAGTTGATTCAATCAAATTTTGTTTTATTCAACTAAATGGGTCTCTCAGTGTATCAATATGTTGATGCAACACGTGATACATACACAAAAATTCAGGCATGTACAACAGTTTTAAATCCTTATAACAAAAGTGTTCAATGCAAACGAAGACTGTTGCATGAATGATTGAAATATCTCTGGGAACACGATGATGAACGATTGAAAACATTTCTCGGGACAAATGCTTTCATCTTATCTTTATAAAGCGCAGAATATTCGTTTTATTCATATTTAATAGGACGAATCTCTTTTTCTTGATGCGGTCTCACCTGTTGAAGAGGATGTTTAACAATACAGCCTTAAGCACCGAACAAATTTTCTTAGCGCGGCGATTGCGAATGATAAATATCTCAGCTTTTTTAACGATTTCCTTACGGCATGTACAGTAATTATTTTATCAAAAATTACATTACGCGAACATGGGTGTGCGTGGAAGCCCCCCCTCTCTATCTATCTATTTATCTATCTATCTATCTACCTATACCATTCTCAGTCGATTTTTTTGGTGAGAAACTACCAGGTGATGTCCTCTCCTCGTGAGGTACTTTGCATGCCATACAATGTTACGATATACGACAAACGATTATTCTCAAGCTTTTATTTCATGTTTCCTCACATACGTACCCCATTGCGCTTTGATAATGAACGCCATGTAGCGTCGACACCATCTCTCGTCCGTTTCGGGGGTTTCGATTCTCATCAAGAGCACGCAGCAGTGATCTCTCGTAAAGATGCACCGCGTCGTAAAGGTACGCTGTCTCCGGCACGATCTACACGTTATACGTTATAACATAAAGTAACGATTATGCTTTGAGATTGTGGGTGATTTCAGCGGAAAGATCTATTAACATTACGTTTTATACTAATCGTATGTTATAGTGCAATTAAAACGCGCGCGGAGCGCGCATTCAATTACCCATAATCATTTACGTACCAACGTACTATACTTTAAAATTATGAATATCAACCTATTCAATAGCAATAGACATTTACAAGCATCTGCAAAATTATCACAATCGTATGGTCTATCATTATCATTTCTTTTTGCGAAAGACAATTCGTCAATTCATATAATCCACAGGTCACGATATCTGTCCTATGAATCTGTGCGATGATAATGATAGGGCGAACGAGTATGATAATTTTGCAGATGCTTGCAAACCGTTGCAATGTTGAACAGGTTGATATTCATAATTTCAAAGTACATCACGTTGATATGTGAATGATTATGGGTAACTGTATGCACATCTCGCGCGTTTTAATTGCGCTATAACATACCATTAGTATAAAACGTTGTAATGTTAACTTTTTAAATTTTTGTAGTGAAAATAAATAGCTTCTTTATTATAATGAGAGTCGTTCTTGGAAAATTCCAAAAAGAAAATTTAAAATAATAAAATTTTTTACATTACAATATTCTGTATTATTAACAATACAATACTTATGAGAAGGAAAATTTGCAAACAAGATAAATGATTCCAATCATCTTCCCAAAATATATTATAAAAATGAAAAGAATTTTGAAGTCAGAATTCTAATTTTGTACTGTTAAAATCTCCAAATTCAGAGATATGTTTCTCCAATATTTTCATCATCTCTGATAATCACCTGAACTATTCCTCCGACGTTTGCTGATGGATTCGTGAAATTAAATGGTGGCTTCTGTCTATACTTGTTAACGAGTCGAGTGAAATTCATATAATTTATTGGGGCGGAAGCAACAATGCTGAAATAACTTCGATATGCTCGTATTATTGAAAAATCCATGTTTTTTTGTAATAGCCCTTTCAGATATTTATTCGGATGTTTCTCATCGTAAAACTCAATATCAATACCAACGACAAAATATTCGCCTATAATGAGAAATAGTTAAAAATAATATTATTTAAGTAAGGTGAACGATACGCGCGCGCGCGAGGGAAAAATAGTTATGAAATTAATAAAGTATAAGTTGGAATATAAAATTATACAAAAAACTATATACAGGGTTTGTCCGAAAAGTAATAGGACTGAGTGGATTAAAAAAAATTTATTGAGCCGATCGTTACAATTCTTTAAAAACTTTCAAAATATGCTCCTCCTGCGTCGATACAACGCTGCCAACGAGATTTCCAAGCCTTGAAGGCGTCACGGTAGGCATTTTCCGGAATGGCCTTTAGAGCCGCGGTGCAAGCTGCTTTGATCCCCTCTGCCGTCTCAAAATGCTGTCCTTTCATTGGTCTTTTCAGGAGAGGAAACAAAAAGAAGTCCAGGGGGGCCACATCTGGGCTGTAGGGCGGCTGGGGAAGCGTTGGGATGCCTGCCTGGGCCAGGTAGCTGCTCACAAGAAAGGAGGTGTGAGCTGGAGCGTTGTCATGGTGCAACTTCCAGTCGGCTGCGATGTCTTTTTTGACATCAAAGGCATCGTTCACCATGAGTTTGTTCCTCCTGGACAAACCGTCAACGCCAAATTTTACGTGGAGGTGCTCAAGAGACTCAAAAGAAGGATCAATCGAGTCCGAACAGACATCGCAGCCGACTGGAAGTTGCACCATGACAACGCTCCAGCTCACACCTCCTTTCTTGTGAGCAGCTACCTGGCCCAGGCAGGCATCCCAACGCTTCCCCAGCCGCCCTACAGCCCAGATGTGGCCCCCCCGGACTTCTTTTTGTTTCCTCTCCTGAAAAGACCAATGAAAGGACAGCATTTTGAGACGGCAGAGGGGATCAAAGCAGCTTGCACCGCGGCTCTAAAGGCCATTCCGGAAAATGCCTACCGTGACGCCTTCAAGGCTTGGAAATCTCGTTGGCAGCGTTGTATCGACGCAGGAGGAGCATATTTTGAAAGTTTTTAAAGAATTGTAACGATCGGCTCAATAAATTTTTTTAATCCACTCAGTCCTATTACTTTTCGGACAAACCCTGTATATTATATATGAAATTTTATACATACGGATGTTTATTAATTATTTTATATTAAAAAAATTAATAATTTTTTGTTATTATTTATTTCTTAATTTTTTAGTCAGATTTTGAAAATTTATTTTCTGGAAATTAATTATGAAAAATTCACGACGGAATAACATTAAAAATAATTAATTCGATTTTATTTCTCAGTGCTCCATTGTCCTAACACAGAGAATATACAGGGTGTCTCAGAAAACGCGTTTGTCTTTAAAATAATGTATTCCTGACGTGATTCTAAGACATTTCTT